AACCTGCAGGCAGAATCAGTTTCCTAGGTTACAGCAAGTACTGGCTCAATTCTCCTTATTTCTTTACATTCTTCCTATGAATCATTCCTCATTTATTTCACAGAAACCCACTGCCTCCCACTTTTTTCCTATAATGTGATCAGCCTTTTACAATCACTCTCATTCCATACTTTTACTGCCTTAAGTTTTATGCTGTCCTTGTGATCTTATACATGTTCAGAGCGCCACATAATTTTTGCAACTCTACATTGCCATTTCCAGATATCTTCAGAGCCTTTCCTATCAGTTCCACAGTTGACCTCATGAGCAAAATAAGAGACCATTTTCCAAAATCTGCATGGATTCTTTAGTTTGAACAATATTATTCATTCCACAGCAAATAAGTTACATGTGCTAGATACACATGAAATGTCCTTTTCCTATGCTAGCCAATAGCTGCTCATGTTCTTGGCTTTTTTACTGCTTTATCTTGAAGTAGAAAAGATGCCCAAGACAGAGGAAATGTTTACACCAGGAGAATACTGGTGTTGTGAAACCATTTCCCCCCATTTTTTTAAAAAAAAAGTCAGATCTGCCTTCACTGTATCACACAGAGGAGTTACTCAGTTTCGAGTTATTACACCTTGCTCACTAAAAGAAAACATGTTGGAACTGTTTCCAGTCTGACATAGTAGTACATAGGCAAATTTGTTTTTATATATGGGACCATAATCTTAGCATCTTAAATCGTGTCTTCAAATTCACTGGTTATATGAAAACTGTCCTCTTCATTTTTATGTAAATAAGCAAACAAACAACAGCTACTATTTAGATTTGATTTTTCCAATTTTATTCTCCAAATGGCATTTAGAAATCAAAGCAGTTGATTCCGTGAAAGATTATCCCTCTCTACTTCATGACCCTGGTGAAATTAATTATTATATTTATGTGTTAATTCATTTTTAATTATTTGGAACCTTTATTCTTCTGGTTCTATGAACTGTAATAATTCAGGCCTTTTAGCATGTAAAGCCTAATTGCAGAAGGTAATTCTGAATCAAAACCAATTTTGTTAATGTTTGGGCAGAAAGCTTAAAAACTAAATACTGTACTCTTTAACCCACAATGCAGTTTACTTGTTTCTAATCAATCTGTGTTTAAATAAAGCTCAGACTCACAGAGAAGAGTTGTTGGAATGAAATGGCAGCATGAAGTAGATTACTTTCATTGGTTAATTTAGTGTAAAGTGTGATGAATTACGCCCTTCATTGCTGTTTGCCTCTTTGGCTAGAGGGATTAGCCATGAGGCTGCAACCAAGTGTAAATAGCAAGGATGTGACAAATTTATTTGCACTGCATGACAGAAGATACAATGTTGTATTTCATTAGATTCTGTCAGAAGACATTGTCTCAGGCACAGTAGAATACTTTTTAGAACAGTTCCCTATTCTTTTTCCTTTTCACATGCATATGTTAACTTTTTCCTCTACTTTATCATCATCATTACAACAACAGCATCAAAAAAGAAGAGACATTAAGATGTGAAGCAACACTGTCACTCTTCTACAGATGGAAAGGCCAGATTTCCTATCTAGCAAAAGCTTTCAGTAGACAATGTCATTTTCATTTGAGTTTTGTGTTGGAATCTGTACATTTCACATAAATCTTTCCAGTTTTGAAATATTTAAATAATTTTATGTACCCAACCTGGAACCAGGTTGCTATTTGTGAATTGACGTTGTAATTGAGGAATTGGGAAGTCATTATTATTTTCTGTAACTGATGTTGCCTGGTATTGATAGGAGTAAAAAACAACAACAACCAAACAGAAACAAAGAAACAAACAAAAAAGCCCCACTGAAACCAGGAACCTGCCCAGTGTTGCTTACCCTCCCATTTGGGAAGATGACCCTTGCATGTGGGGTTGTCCTTTATTGCGCTCCTTGCCATCTAGTAAGATAGTGACCAGTGCAGTCCTGGCCTTTCCCCATGTTTCTTCAAAGAAATGTCAGGGTAGGGCCTGAAGAGATCAGAGGAGAGAAATGGACTTGATTTAGAGCTGTTTGCCATTGGTCCCTGCTGCAGCTTCTTCATAATATTTTCGCATATGAAGACATGATGCTGCCTTCTCATGTTTAGCCCAGTATTGCTGGCTCTCGCTGATAGTATTATGATTTGTCTCCCCCCTTCTGCCAGGGATAATTTTAACTAGTGGTGTAGGGCATCATACCCTGAAACCTCCACTTGCTGAAGCACTGATTATATCACAGAGCAGCTTCCACCTGATTTCTATCTCCAAAGCTGCGGGTGGTTGTTCTATGCAAAGTTCTGTGTCACTTTAGGTCTGCATGTGTGTTTCTCTCTTCATCAAGTTAACAAACTTGTCAAACTGTTTCAGCCTTCCCATCAAGTGCAGGAGTACAAAAGGCAGCAAAGGCAATCCATATCTGACATGGAGGTGTTTTGAGAAGGAACTGGAGTCTATAGCTAGACCTCTTTTTTTGGACTGTAACTCTCCAAACCCAAGAAAGCCTGGTCCAGAGCAGGTTTTCAGAGTATACAGGAGGCTACAAGGATGTAGGGGTGTGCACTCTCCACTGCTCGCTAGTTTTGCTAGTGGAAACAGTTCTGACAGCAAAATTAACCTTATTAAATCCTGGCTGTTTTATTGGCTCCCTTCTCATCTTCATTGTGCACAAAGTAACTGTCATCCTTTTCAAACAGCAGCATCACTTTTCACATTTCTCCTGATATGGGAGTCTTATGTATAAGATGAATAGTTCTGTGAGAATGTTCTGTTTTTCCAAATAAGATTAGTTCCTTGAGATCCCAAATCACCATGCCCTGAGGGGCTGTGCTCACTGCTGTCCTGCCTACCATGTCTCAGAAATAGCTGAGAACTCCTTGGAAACTCTTCCCAGTGCATGTCCTGTAGGTGTCATTTTTAAAATCCCAGCAAGTGAGTGAGAGAGAGAGAATGAGAAACTGTGTTCCACAGGAGTACATATAAAGCACTATGGCAACGGCAGCTGGAAGCAGTGAAGGCGCCACACTGAGTGAAGCAATGTTTCCATCTATCACTTGTGACAGCAGCCAATGCTTACCCTAGCCTTTTGCCACATGAAAGAACTCTCCCTA